CGTCCCGAGGGGACCGCGGCTCCATCCAGCTTTTGCGACACGCGGAGCATCCTTCAGGGATGCTCAAATCCTCGTGTTTCACACCAATCCTGCAGCCTCTGGAAGGGCGATAGGGTGATGTAACAACCCCCCCCGCCCTTTCTCTCTCTGTCTCTCTAGTGTCTGCCGGTACCAAAAGCCTATGAGAGCATCCATCCTCATTTCCCGTAACCCTCTGTCCTTCCTCCTCCCTCCTTTTCCAGCCCTTCCTAACCTCTCTCCATTTCTTTGTGCCTCAGATGAGTTTCCTGCTCTCGCCAAGCCTCTGAAAGCCGCAGACCGTACGTCCCCTTAGCCTCTCGGTTTGCGATCGCCGCTTGGTAATCCTTTTGCCCGAAGCAGGGCGGGAGCCGGGGGAGCGTTGGCTGTGTCGTGCCCGGACAACCGGGTGGGAGAAGGGGACGGCTCCAGCGTGGCCTCCCCTGCCCTGCGGGAGCGGGGAAAGGGCTCCACTGCCCTTCCCCTCAGTGGTTTTGGGGTGTCCCTGTCGGGCAGCAATGTCAGCGTGGTCGAGCGTGTGCTGTGTGCCGAGCCAGATGTGCGCAGGGAGCTCAGAGCGGGACCCTGCAAACGATTTCTGCCCCTTCGCTGCTCCCTCTGCTCGAGGTTTCGTAAAAATGAGCCTTTCTCTTCTGAGTGCTCTCTTGCTGCCTTAAGGGGAGCACGGGGCCAGCTCCTTGGCTAGTGTAAATCCCCTACGCTGGTTCACACCAGCAAAGCGATGCTCTCCTTTTCTGGAGACCCTTCCTGGGACTGGGAAGCTCTGTGCCCCCCCGCACAGCCTCACACCTGCCTTGTCTTTCTCCTACACGAAGGTAAGCGGTCATAGGACTCAAAGGGGTTGAAAAACTGCAGTATTTTGGTGGCCTTCAGACGCATGCGTGTGGTCCCCGTGGTCCTGCAGCGAAGCCCCGCGGGACGCGTCCCCGAGGTGCCTTCGGGACTCTCTAATGGCTCTTTTCCCCCGCGGTCCCCAGCGGACGACGGGCTCGGGTTCCTGCCGACCTTCGGTCCCTGCTATATCAACCTCTACGGCAGCCCCCGGGAGTTCACCGGCTTCCCCGACCCTTACGAGACGCTCAATTTGGGAAAGGTGACGTCGGCTTCTTTCCAGCACAACCTCAAATAAACCACGATCCCTCCTTGCCAAAAGAAAGCTGCTATTAACCCAAACCGGCTTTGTTATCAGGAGCCTGCACCGCGTTTTCTCTCTCCCTGGCTGTTCCCGCTGGCTAAACACCTCCTGGTCTTGCTCTGCTGCCCAACTGCTCCCTGCCTTGGAAGCGCTTGCAGAAATACTTTGCCTGATCTCGCTCCTCTGCGGTGAAGCCCACTGAAAGCAAAGGCAGAGCTTGCCTGCGGGGATGGGGCACCGGGGTCCTGACGCCTGTCTCTGGTCTACCCCAAGGGCGAGGGAGTCGCGTATCGCGGCAGGATGCTGGTGGAGCTGGAGACCAAGCTGGTGGAGCACGTGGAGCAGAAGGTGGAGGACATTTCCGCGGATGACATCCTACGGGTGGAGGTAACGGGGTCTCCATGGGGTATCCAAGCCCGTGGGCTCTGGGGTCGGCCCTCCGGCAACACGGCACGTGTGGCACTAGGGAAGGGGTGCAGGTGTTGGTCCTGGTTGGGTGATGCCTTGTGGGCGGTGGAGTGGTTGGTGAGCTCCTGGAGGGTGTCTCCAGCTACGTTTCCATCCCAAGGTGTCCAACTTGCTCTGTCTGAGCTGCTGCATGGTAGTGAGAAGATCATGGTGAACGTGGAGGGGTGGAATGTTTACCTCAACTCAGGCACTATCGCAGATGTCCTTCTTTTGCTTGTTTCTTTGGGTCTAAACTGCATTTTTTATGGAAAGTTCTAGCCTTCTCCTTTGTTTTTTCTAAATCTCTCACCCAACATTCCCGTGCTGCAGCGTATGCTTTTCTTCCCTGCAATAAACTTTTCCATCTTGGGGCCCTCGCCGAGCTGGTGTGTGCCGGGGTAGCAGAGGGTCTGTGTGTAGGAGAGCGGTGTTGGCGTCTCCTCTATGGACATGGTCCCGTGCCTGTTGCAGAAGTACCTGCGCCGTCGGAAGTACTCCCTCTTTGCTGCCTTCTACTCAGCCACCATGCTCCAAGACGTGGACGATGCCATCCAGTTTGAGGTCAGCATCGGCAACTACGGCAACAAATTTGACAACACCTGCCTGCCCTTGGCCTCCACCACGCAGTACAGCCGGGCCGTCTTTGATGGTGAGCAACACGGGGGTGACCGTGCACTGGGATGGGCTGCCCAGGGAGGGAGTGCAGTCTCCGTCCTTGGAGATACTCAAAACCCAACTGGACATGGTCCTGGACAACCTGCTCAAGGTGACCCTGCTTGAGCAGGGGGTTGGACCAGATGACCTCCAGAGCTCCTTGACCACCTCAACCATGGTGTGAGAGAGGAATATGTGACTGGGGAGAATTGAGGAAGCCTGGACTACTTGTAGCTCTGTGCTGACTCAGAGTGGTTTTTGGGCAGCCCTGGGTGCTAACAGTGCCCATTGTTCTTCAGGGAAGAGCTGGTGCTTTGGGGTGGCCTTTCCCTGGCTCCTGTGGGGCTCTCACTCTGGTGTGAGATGTCCTCACCCCACCAGGGTTGTTCTGCTGGTTTCTGCCCTCACTGCTCTGCAGGAGCTGCTGCAGCCATGGAGGTTGATGCTCGTCCCTTTGGACCTTGGTGTGCATTGTTCTGTTGCACATGGGTTTGGGGAACATAATCCCCATCCTCCTGCCCCAAAAAAGCCCCAGAGATGGGCTTCTGCCCAAGGCCAAACGCTGCCCGGCTCCCCTTAGCTCAGCTCTGCTCCTGAGGAGTGGGGTCCCCCATCATCCCAATATCGGGAGCTCACCAGCGTGCTGTGCCCTCCAGGTTGTCAGTATTACTACCTGCCCTGGGGCAACGTGAAGCCCGTGGTGGTATTGTCATCCTACTGGGAGGATATCAGCTATCGGACTGATGCCCAAAACCTTCTCCACCATGCAGCAGACAGGCTGGTGAGTGCCGCGGTGGCAAGGAGCATTGTCCACCTCCTTTCTGCATCCTGCCTTGGGGGGGACAGGGAGGGGACAGAGGCCATCTTCAGGCTGGGCCAGGTATGGGGTTTGATGACTCTTGTGCAGAGCCCTGGTGGGACCCAGGCTGGAGTTTCTGATCATGGGGAGCACTTGTTGGGAGGGTCTTGGACGTGGGGTGGAGCGGGGTGCCAGGGGGGTCCCCGCTGTGCAGCTCCTCTTCCCCACCTTGCAGGAAGCAAACCTGGAGAAGGTCCACCTTGCTCTCAAGGCCAACTGCTCGCCGAGTGAGCTGGATGCCCTGGGTGCCCAGCTGATGGATGACATCATCGCCGACTGCAGGTATTTTCTGCCAGTTTTGACTGTGAGCCTTTTCATGCCGTTTATTGCAAGAGCACTTATTTATCTTGGAAGGGACAACTTCTGCTTTTTTTTTTCCCTTTTTTTTTTTTTTTTCTCTCTGAAAAACGCTGGTCATTTGCTAATGTTTGCTTCAAAGGTTGCTGAGCCAAGGCATGGAGTTGAAAAGGTGACATTTAAGGCAAGTCATAAATTTCCAGCCTTCGTGCAAGGGCTGCAGCGTGGTTCACCTGAATGAGCGGCATTGTGTCGGGGGCAGGAGCCGGAGCCAGCCCAGCCCAGCCAGAAGGACGGTGGGGCTTGTGGGGTCAGGAGCCACCGGTGGGGCTTCCCAGTTGAGTCTTGCGTGCGTTGCGTAGGAGTTACCCGTGCAGAGCACCCAAAGGGGTTGTTCGGCTGCGTGTGGGTGTTGTGTGCCCGATGGCTGGACCGGGCGGACAGAGATGTTGCGGGGCTGGATGGCACAGCCATCCCGCCGTCCCCCGTGGGCGGCACCACCACTATCTGCTGCCGCTTTGCCTTTCTGAGCGCTCGGACATTCGTTCGGGGGAGGCTGGCAGGGTGCCACGGGCTTTCCCTCCATGTAGCCTGGGTTGTTTGTTTTTTTTTGGGCTGGATTGCGCTTTGTGGGGATGAGGACCCTCTCCGGGCAGCATCGCTGCGGTATGACCGTGGTGTTTTATCCCAAGGACAGCTCAGCCCTCAGGAAGGTGTTTCAGGGACTGACCTCACCAGGGTCTTTGGACCGTGGTTCCCCTTCAGGTATGCCCGTGAAGGTGATCTCTGAGTCCCGTCCCGTGCCCGACCACACGACTCTCCTTCAGCAGCTCCACGCCACCAATTTGGGGAAGGGCAACAGTGGGATCGCTGACGTGTTTTTAGCCCTGGCAAACCCTTGCTTGGAGGCACTGCGGGCACGGCGGGGGGTGCAGCCCCTCTGGACCCTCCTGTGACACCCGTGTGGGACCAGACACCTCCTTCCCTCGAGCAAGGAGATCTTGAATGAGCTGACCCTGCTCCGCAGACCTCCTGGAGGACACGCTTGAAAACCCGCGCACACGTACTTACAACCTCCCTATGTATTTGCTTTTGAGCCTCATAAAGGAGATGTGTTTCGCCCCCCGCGCCCGCTGGCTCTGCTGGGAAGGTCAGAGCCGACCGACGGGCTCTCGATACCCCCCTGGGTACGTGGGACGGGACCTGAGGGACGCGCCACCGCTTTGGGTTTTCCAGAGATGCTGTGCCCTCCAAAACAAATTCAATTAATTGGGAGGGGAAAAATGTGGCCGCGGGACGTGCCAAGCCCGCGGTTCCCGCTGGCTCCCCGCCCCGCTCTGTGCTCGGCTACCATGGGATGCAGCTTCTCCGCCTCTGCCAGGGCTTGGCGTGGGGACCGGGGCTGGTTGGCGAGGGTGGTACCCGCGGTGGGGGCAGCTGGAACAGCCCCGATGGCTTTTCGAGGAGTTTCGCACCCCTCCACGCGCTCTGCCCTTGGGGGGATGAGCTGAGCCGTGCTGCCAGACCTGTCCGTGATGCTGCCAAAGCCTGGGCTCTGTGCTCAGCCAGGGCAGAGCTCCTTTGCATCCAGATTTTGGAAGGATGGGACAACCCCCCACCACTCTCCGGTGCTTCCCTATCCTCCTCTGGACCTCACCGGTGAAAGGGTCCCAGCGGGAGGGGGGGGTCTCCCCTCCTCCTGTCCCTAGTAGGAACACAGCGACGTGCTGCCGGCACCGCCTTGTCCACGTCTGTTTTCCAGACCTTTGCATGAAGAGATGGCAGACCGCTGCTCTCTGGGAAAGAACAGCATTGGAAGCAGCATACAAAGGGACAAAGTTAGGGAAAGCCGAGTCGTGGCAACACAAGACCTCGAATTGCGGGTGGATGCAGGTGGCTCCTGCAGCTCCTTGGAGCTGACGGGCGGCAGCACCGACCCGAAGGGTGGGTTTTGTCCCTCTGCTCCTGGCCTGTCTCCCGTGGTGTGAGGATTGCTCCGTGCTGGAGCTCGGAAGAGAGCTGCTGTGACTCGTCCCCTGCGCTGTTCCCTGCCGGAGCTGGGGGCAAAATGTGCAGCGGTGGCCGGAGAGGCCCTGCTGCAGAAGAGGGTCCATGTTTTTGACTGTCCTTTTGGTCTTCCTTGTACTTTGTCCAATCCTGTCGCATCTTTCCCCAGCTGGAAGCACAACGTTCACACGAGGATGCACCAAGCATTTATGTGCTGGCACAGTGATAGCCTCAGTTCAGCCCTTTGGCTTTTTCCTAATAATTTGTGCCCGGAGTGGTAACAGCCAGCGCAGGACCCATCACTGTGCATGAACTCAACGCTCTCATCTTCTGCCACCTGCCTTCTAACCACCTCTTTGCCCAGGAGATGACCACCTTCTTGCTCCAGGGTGGCAGAGCTTTTGGGGAGGGACCACGCCACGGGCTGCCGGGGACCCCAGCAGGCTGTCCCAGCACCCCAGCAAGGTGTTCAGGGGATGGTGACACCCCTGTGTGACCCAGCATCCCTCCACAGGTGACCCCCTCGGGTCTGGCTTGTCCAGCTCCCTGTTCTTCTTGTCTTGCTTGAGGTTGCTGCTAGTTTGCTGGATGCAAGAGTCGGACTTGCCGATCTTGGGTTGCCCCAGATCCTCCTGGGTCTCTCTGAGGTTGCCATCACGTTGCTCCTTGCCGTCCTCTCACCTGAGACAATGTTAAGCGTGAAGCTGCAGATCCCACCCAATCATCCAGCCCTTTCCTACCTGAATTGCAAACGATTTGCTGCTCGACTGGTTTCCTCCCAGTCCTCTCCTCCCGCAGCAGGACGGACCCTGATGAGAGGCTCTGCCCTGGCGTCCTCCCTGTTCCCAGCTTTTTTTGCTATGAAAAATGCTGCTTCCAGCTCTGGCTCACCAGCACACGTTCCTCGTGTCATTTATCCACCTGAACAGGGATAGTTCTTTAGGTTTTAGGCTTTTAATCGGAATGCCTCCATCTTCTTGCCTTTTTTTTTAACTACTGCCTGGTATTTTTACATTTCTTATGGTGGAGTCCATGGTCTTTTCCATTTGGAAAATGTGCTCCACCTGGAGCACAAGTGTGATGAGGAGCGGCTGAGGGACCTGGGGTTGTCGAGCCTGGGGAACAGGAGGCTGAGGACAGACCTGATGGCTCTCTACAACTCCCTGAAAGGAGGGTGTAGACAGGTGGGGGTCGGTCTCTTCTCCCAAGTAACAAGTGATAGGACAAGAGGAAAAGGCCTCAAGTTTTGTCAGGGGAGGTTTAGGTTGGATATTATGAGAAATTTCTTCACCAAAAGACTGGTCAGGCATTGGCACAGGCTGCCCAGAGAGGCGGTGGAGTCACCATCCCTGGAGGTGTTCAGAAAGCGTGTAGACATGGCACTTTGGGACATGGTTTAGTAGGCATGGTGGTGTTGGGTTGACAGTTGGACTTCATGATCTCAGAGGTCTTTTCCAACCTTAGATTCTATGATTCTATGATTTTTGATTCTACGATTCTATGATTTTCTCACTTGAGCACAATTTAACTTCATTTATCCGTTGTGGTTTTTACGGGTGTCTGACGTGCGGCACGTACCGCCAGGAACGAGGTGTTTTCAAACTGTTTCCATGCTGCCGATAGGATTTAACCCTTTCTGCTGCTCCTTTTCACAGCTCTTTTAACACATTTCCTCCTTTTTGCGTAGTTTTATAGTTTATCTTTCTGAAATTAAATTCAACTGCAGTGAGTATATTTAGGTGCTTTTTAGTATATTTTAAATTTTATATTTTTTTTCCTCCTTTTTTTTTCCCCTGTTTCTGCAAGGATATTGAGGTACATCCTAGTTTCGGCCACGCAGTGGTGTTTGCTTGGTGAGGTGAGCAGTGTCCTTCCCGCACACCAGTGACAAAGCAAGCCGCGGGAAACACGTGGGAGGTCAGCTCGTTAGCAGCTCCCTCGTGATAAATACACAAACGAAGCGTGGACACACAAAACCGAGTTCACGGAACGCGATTGGTCTAACCGTGGAGGGCTTGGGCTGCGACCCCAACACGGGCTTTTAATTTAGGTCCTCGCACAGGATGCTACTGAACAATCAGGCTAATTAGCAACACGCGTGGTGCTCCATTGCCTTTTGGAAAAAGCAGCAAACCCAGTTCTCTGTAAGAGGAATGAAAGAACTGAATTTCCCCCTAAATTTTTCCCTAAGCCTCTCGTTAAAGGAATCCATGTTATTAACCTGAGACAACCGGCACCGACGCCATCCCGGCAGGTACCACCGCGTGCGTCTGCCCACGGCACATCTCGATGATCATAGCTGGACAAGAGATGTTGTCCTTTTTTATTTATCGTGCAATTAAAATGGGGCTTACGGAGCCCAATCCCAGCCTGAGGGGGGAACGCAGGGGGCCGTGGGTCGGGAGCTGGGAGCCAGAAGGGCGTTAGTAACGGGCAGCACTGTAAATCACTGCATTTTACAGGAAATCTTCTGAATGGCTGAGCACAGTGAAGATCCTCCCGGACTCCTGAAATGTTTATCCAGCAGCTTGAATCAATTTATATTAAAATGTGCGTGTGGCGTGGTGTGCGCGGCTCAGCCGGGGGGCTCTGTCCTGGTGCTGCGGGTGATGCGTGGGGGCTGCGAGTGCGGTTTGAAGCTCTTTGGCTCTTGGCGTTGCCATGTTCCCCAAATGTATCTTCGGTGGCTTGTTCTTTGGAAACTTGCTGAAAAGGAGGAAAAAAATAATAAAAGAAGACAGCAAGACTCCATGAGAGGGTGAGTGAGCTGCTAACGCCATTTCTCTGCCCGTCCCCACAGCCTGACCTTGCCTGATGTCCTGGGGAAGCCGGCCAGCACCCACCTGGACCAGAACATGTACCGGTTTCGCAGCACCAACCTGGAGCAGATAGTGAAGGCAGCCCTGAAGCTCAAGCACGAAGACTCGAGCCTGTCGGCAGCCCTGGAGCAGGCAGAGGACTGGCTCTGCAGGCTGAAGGCCATGGCAGAGGAGGTAACGCCGCTGCGATGGTGGCAGGGGCTGCTTTTCACCCGGCGACGCGGTGGGATGCGGAGAGGATGCCGCTCTAGCACCCACTGCCCACCCAGCAGTGATGTGAACTGGGTGGGGAACGCGCCGGGTTTGGCAGCCGGCTGTCAGGTTTAGCCTGGTCCATGGCAGAGCTTTACGGCACGGCCAGTAGACCCTCAGCCACAGCTGCTGTAGCGACCAGGGGCCTACAGGAAAGCTGGAGAGGGACTGTTTATCAGGGGGTGTAGTGACAGGCCAAGAGGAAAGGGTTTAAGCTGAAGGAGGGTCGATTTAGATTAGATGTTAGAAAGGAATCCTTCCCTGTGAGGGTGCTGAGGCCCTGGCCCAGGGTGCCCAGAGAAGCTGTGGCTGCCCCCGGCTTCCTGGCACTGTTCAA